CTTGACCACAAGGCTCAGAGTGTTGCCCCTGAGAAATGTCCAGCAGTTCACTGTGCAGAGTGAGTTCTAAATTCAGGGGGAAACACTCCTGCAGGAATCAGAAGCTGAGTTACAGCTCTGGAGGGGAAAACTTGGCCCAGCACTTTCTCCTCCCATAACACAAGGTGTTGCATGCATGATTAGCAGGCTCCTCTTCTGTCTGGGTAATTAGCCCTTTGGCTCATCCTCTTGCAGCAACAAAAGTCCCTGTCAGATTTCAAGTGAGGGGAAAGGGAAGGCAGATGATGAGTAAATATAACTCAAATACCATGACAACTTTGACAAGGATGTCAAGGCCAAAGGGAGCTGAAAATGTTTTTCCATCACAGTGGAAAACTGCTGGCATCCCAGAGGAAATCATGATGGTTTCTAATTGAACTCAGCTGTGTTCTTGGCATAAGAAAATGGTTTTTCTGGAGGCTCATTTGTTAAATATATATATATTTAAACTAAATCTATAATCTGCTGCCCATGGCTTTTTTTTTTAAGGGATAACATGAAGAGCTTAGTAATTGTGGAGATATTTATTGACTGAGGTAATTAGTTAGCTTTGAATCTGTGGCATGTATGTTGTTGTTAATCAATACAAATGTAATTTGACTTTAGATTTGATTAGAGCTGAATGAGAGGAACAGCAGGTTAGTCGGTGGGGTTTTTTTCCCTTGATATAAGTAATTCCATCTCCATTAAAACACATTTCCCAGCCCCAAATCAAATAAATAAGCACAGAATATTGTTCTCCTGTTAAACACCTTCTTTTCCCCTCTGGCAGGCAGTGAGTATAAGTAATTTGGATTTATTTAGAAAGATTTTAATTTTTAGAGTTCAGTGAAAGTACCACCCCATGAATAAGAGCGGGGACCTTAATTTTAGTACTGGTGAGTGAGAGGCTTCAGGCTGATCTGAAATGGCACCTAGAGTGATGCCACTTGCTCAGCTACCCCTTTGCAGTGCTGTTGTTTCTTTTGGTCCTGTGATTGTACTGGGAGTGGTGGCAGAATGTGTAGCAGCTCTATGGAGTGGATGAAAAGGAAACTGGAAGTGGCAAGCCCCTTTGGAAATGGTTGCAGGTGCTTGCTGGTGCTGCTGAAAGTGAGCAGCTGGTGCAGAACCCTGGGCAGGGTGAGCACAGGGGGCTTGGATAATCCAGGTGTGTA